GGGAGGGGAGGGGAGGGGAGAGAAGAGACGAGACTTGGATTGGCTGGTTGATTGCCAGGGATTCTTCTGTTCAGTCCATGCCTAGCACAGCAGGCTGCAGGTTCAGGCTGCCCTTCCAGCTACTCTTACTGTAAGGCTCTGCTCATACCACATGGCTTCCTATGTTCTTGATGAATGTACAAATTAGCAAAACACCCCAAGTCCACTGACTAACATAGTTCACACTGTAAGGAAACTGAGTGATTCTTTCACTCACATGTTTGTCTTCTGTGACCTTGGATGGCAGAAAGCCAACCCCAACAGGCTAACCTAGACTTGATGAAAAACAAAACAAAACAATAAGCCTGGCCCTGTAAAGCTTGAGCCCCATAGCCAGCAAGAGATGCTAGCCCAGGTGCTGCCTTCAAGACACCCAATCCAAGTAGTTGGTCTAAAGGATGTCCTACCATCACTCCCAAAACAGCTAATGATCAGGGAATACATTAGAAATGCTGGGAGTCAGAGGCGCGATCAAGGATGGGGTCAGGAGAGGAAGTAAATACAATGGAGATCCTCAGAAACAGATCCTGTCCGAGGGCTGCAGGAACTCCCTGGAGAAAAGAATTTCACAAAATTGGCATTCTGGTTTAGGCTCTTTGGGTGACAGAATGAAAGCTGGATTGAGATGGGAAAATTGGAGGCAGAGAATCAATCCATCATACTTATCTTGCCACTGGGAAAAAGAAGTGGATTGAGCAAAGGGTTCAGCCGCAGCGAGTGGGGTGACCCATTCCCAAAACACATCTCTGCAGCTCCAGGCCATAACGATCTGCCTTCATTCATTCACTTGAAATATTAAAAAGGAGCTACCGTCGATTTGGGAGGAGAGTGTTCTTGTTTGGCTTCCTGTATTATTTATAATAGTTTCAGAAAGTTGTCCTCCCTCCATACAGCAAGTAGAGGTGTTTAATGGCTCTTGAGGCAAAGCAGAGTTTATGAATGCCTTCTGAGTGCACAGATTCGGGACTAAGCCCAAACACAATATTCCTTACCATGCCTGAGAACTGCTCGACACTGTCTAAAATGATGCCATCAGCGCAAACATCAGCAGCGCTATTGAAGGTGACCTCCGTTGTCCCATGGGCCATTGCTCTTAGCAACACATCCCTATACTGCCCTCTGTCTTCCCGTCTCCTGTACAGAATTGCTATGTCTTGGGGCAGATAGCCCTCGCGGAACAGGCTGTGACATTTTTCTGCCACATAGTTGGCTATTTGTTCTGGTGTCAAGTTAGCCCTGATCTCACACACGCCAGGCAGAGCCCGAGCACACATCGCTTCCTCGTAGGGAGCGTCTTGGAACATTGCCAGGGTGTCTGGAGAGCCGCTGGAGGCAGGGTTTTCTTGCATCCTCTTCATTTCACCTTTCAGGACCTTAGCAATTTCCACAGCACAATGGATCTCATTGGTGATCATTTTTCGAGGAAACCGAGCGGAAGGAGCTGGAAGGCCACTAACATCTGCGTGCCGGATTTGGAAAGGATCCAGAAAAAGCCAGAGTATCCCGTGGTGAAGGCGTTCATTTGCAGCCTTGTTTGCTTTTGGATGGGTGGTGCTCTTAGCCTTCCTGTACCAGTCACCATGTCTACTGCAGAAATTCTCAGTTTCATCCATCACTATGTGTTTAATCTTTGGGAACTCTTCCCTCATGAAGGTTCTCCGGGTCACAGCTCGGCAGGTGGCTTGTTGCCTGAAACCAGGAAGGAGAAAACGGGTCTCAGGCATAGAAACAAAGATAGCGCGAGCTATCCTTACTCTTTGCATTGGAAATAGAGGCTAATTCTCCTTGGCAGACCAATCCACTAATAGAGGAAGTACAACCAAAGCACTCTGCTTCCAAGGTGCCTGACAGAATGCAGAGTTTAGAGATTATTTGGTTAAATAAATCTTCATGTGAAATTTTACTACAAAGTAGTTATATAGATAGTCTAGTGGTTTTTACCTATAAACCCATCACTCAGGACGCTGGGGATCCTGAATCCAAGGCCAGCCTGGGCTACATAATGACTATAGGTCAATCTGGCCTACATAGCAATACTTGATCTAAAAAAAAAAAAAGTTAGGAAATCTTGTTATTTCTACTGGTCCAACTGTGATGTTTGGCAGCTAAAGTGAATCTCAAAAGTAACTCACGCACGTTCCTACTTCTCTAACTTGCCCTTTTGGAATTAGGAACCCATCTTCTCCTCCAGGCACCTCACGATCTATACATGCAGAACAGGTATGAGTCAATTCAAATATTGTCTAAAGCAAGTTTTGTTACTTCATTTGTCATACAAGATCAGAAAGACCTTTGAGTTTTGATAAGACTCAGCCAATTGCTGACTTCCTTCAAGAAACCTAAAAAGGGGAAAAAATTTTTTAATTTAAAAAAATTAAAAATTTAAAAATTTAAAAAATTTAAAAATTTAAAAAATTTTAAAATTTAAAAGCCGCTTGGCTCGACCTCTCTCAGGCCCACTTTCCTTGTGTGGTACACTGTGGTGTGCATATATGCTACACAGATACGCTTTCCACATTTGGTTACTTCTTGGCTTCTCTAAGTTGGATCCACATCACACGGATTTTATGATACAGGTCCTGGGCTTGCCCTCTGTGCTTTGACTCGTAACTCGTAACTCCATTCCTTCTCTTCAGGCCTGGTCTGGGTGGCTCTGGAGGAACAGCTCTGGTTTTTCCGCTGTCTCCATCCCTTCCTCACAGTAGGAGTTCGATGTGTATCTGACAACTAGGGTTTTAACTGGTAAATTTTAAAAATTTAGCCACTTAATAATGTGCATGGTCCGTAGCACAGTTTCCTACATAATCTAGCATCTGTGTGTGTGTTGTTCCAACATCACCAGTATGCCCACACCCTGGTTCTACTTAAGTTAGATCCTTTGTTTTCTGGCAGTTCTCTGTCTTTGACCTTACTGTGCCCTTTGACCTTGCTGTGCCCTTTGACCTTACTGTGCCCTTTGACCTTGCTGTGCCCTTTGACCTTGCTGTGCTCTTTGCCTACCGGGCCCTCCTCATCTCATTTACTTCTGTTTGTTTTTGTTTGCTTGCTTGATGCTTGACTGCTTTTGATATCGGGTCTCAGTTACTTCAGGCTGGTCTCTACCTCTCAACCCCCTTGTTCAATCTCGCAACGCTGGAGTTACTCTCTCACACCTGGCTCCCTAATGATTTAGGAGTCAAGCCTCCTTCCCTGGAGAGTGACCAACCTCTGGCTGTGTGAGGCAGGCTTTATTAGAATACCAACAACACAGCACTTACGTTGTTTATTTTTAAAGTTTTTGTTAGTTTTGTTCCTCTGACATTATATTTAACACCTAACATAATGGTGCTGCTCAATAAGATTTTTTTTGAATAACTATAACCAAAACAAAAATGTGAATTTGCCCTCTTTGGGAAACTGTACAATGTCTAAATTGCTACACTGAGAGCGAGCGATATCAGTCGTACTTGCATTCGTATGTTTTCTAAAATTACTGGTGCAGAACAACTTAAATGGTTTCGCTGGATTTTTTTTTATATCCAGTGATATTTTATAAACTAAGTCAATCGTATTTAAATTTAAATTCCTGCTAGATATAGTGACTAACTGGACAACCAAAACACTAATTATCCAGCAAAAAGTTACTTAAACTAAGACAAGTTCATTTCTACTTTCCTTAGATCTAAGGCTACAGACTGTGGGAAAATGTTTCTACTTTTATATAGAATCACCACTGGACCTGGAATCTTAATACTCAGGAAGCTGAGGCAGGAGGATTGAGTTTAAGGCCATCTTGAACTGAGTAGAAAGCCTATCTCAAAAAAAAAAACAAAAAACAAAAATGTTGCTCTTTCGAGTCTTGGCTCCAAGATGACCAAAAGAAGAAGAAACAATGGTCGTGGCAAAAAGGGCCGCGGCCATGTGCAGCCAATTCACTGTACGAACTGCGCCCAAGGATAAGGCCATTAAGAAGTTTGCTATTTGGAACATTGTAGAAGCCGCTGCTGTCAGGGACATATCTGAAGCAAGCGTCTTCGACGCTTACGTCCTTCCCAAGCTCTATGTCAAGCTGCATTACTGCATGAGCTGTGCCATGCATAGCAAGGTCATCAGGAATCGATCTCGTGAAGCCTGGAAGGACCAAACTCCCCCACCACGATTCAGACCTGCTGGCGCTGCACCACGACCCCCACCAAAGCCCATGTAAAGAGGTGGTTTCTTTCTTAAGGGCAAAAGGAAAGATGCTTTGGGAAAAATAAAACGGAAATTCTAAAAAAAAAAATGTCAAGCGTCTGTGGCATGTTTGGGACTGAACATGATAAATACCTATTCTAGACTGCAACCACATCTGTGGTTAACTGAAGACTATGCTAACTTCCACAGTGAAAACGCACTGCAAAACCTTACTCTCAAAACACAAATTACTTTTGTGACCAAAAGGACTTTTTTTTTTTTCTTAAAGTTTAGATGGTAAAATTCTCACATCACAAAATCCCTTAGGGAGTCATTTTCACAAACATAGAGGATCTCTTTTGGTTTGCAGTGGAACACATCCTTAATTTTTTCCACCATCTTTATGGCAAGAGCTGTCTTCCTGGTTCCCGGGAGGCAGTGGATGAACAGTTCCCGGGTTTCCTGGAGGTTCCTGGAGAGGGCATTGGCTTGCTCTTCTATGCACTGCTTGAAGAACTCACAGCCCAGCTGGTCACTCAGCACAGATCTGGAGCACAGTAAGACCAGCACCAGGCCCTGTAGCAAATTCTCCACTTCAGCTCTGCTGGACAGCATGTAGGGACGGGGGTAGTACACAGGGGACTGATCAGGTCCAGACCCTCTGCTGGTCAGGTATATCACCCTTGGAATGACACATACTTTGCCTGTGTAGCCTCCAAGGGTTTGTAGCTTCCTCTTTAACTGAAGGGCAGTGTTTTGAGTATAGTCTGATCTTCCAATCCAACTGGGGTCTGTCAGGATTGTATAGAGCACCAGAGGGCTGCCGACTGCTACCAGGAGAGCATCACATAAGACCTCCTCTTCTCTGGATAAACCAATATCGCCAGCCCAGCTTCTCGACAATATCACAATTCCATGAGAACAAGGGTGTGTGTGTGCCTTCAGTAAGTCTTCCAGCCCTTGATGATCTGAGAACAGCTTCTTACAGAGGGATTCTGGCTGAAACTGTAGGTTTCCCTGTGTCACTGAAAATTGAAGGAATAGAAGTTACCAAAACTTTAAAAAGCACAGGGCTACTCCTGTAATCTGGTAGAAAAGGACGGCTCTAGCCTCGGAACCATGTTTTTCCTGTTGCGAAGAGAACATTCCTGAGGCAGTTACAACAGTTTCTCTAGCCTCACAACTCTAGCTCTAAGGGAAGTTGTCGGGGAGAGGTCTACAGAGAACAGCTCCTGAAGCCCTTTTCTGGTCCAAGATGTCCACAGCAGCTGGGAAGCTGCTCCTTTTTTTAAAGAGCCTTCTGCGAGGCTTATACTTTGGGGGAAGTGAGAATCTTCTTTCAGAATAGCAATTCTTAGCCAGAAGTCTGAAGACATTTTATTATGTGCATGCTTGTGGTCGTGTGTGTGCGCGTGTGCGTGTGCATGTGCATGTGCATGTGTGTGTGTTCAGTATATGTAGAGGTCAGAGGACAACTTCCAAAAGTAGGTTCTCTCCTTCTATACAGAAGGTTCTCCTTCTGTGGGGCCCAGAGATTGAACTCAGGGTATCAAACCTGCTGGTAGGCTCCTTTACCCATCCAGCCATCTCACCAGCCAAGACAATGTCAAGAGACTTTCTGATTATTACAATCACAAGGGGGCTCCTGGCATCTAATGAAGAGAAGCCAGGAATACAGCCAAGCAATGTATAAGTGACAGAACACTCCCTCTGATGTAATTCAAATGTTAGCAGTACTGATGCTGAAGAAAATTTGCTTTAGAGTGAGTATGTGTAACCCTCTGACTCCTATATTAAAAAGGCATGGCGCAGTTCTCGTAGGAGAGAGACCCAAGGGACTTCAGCGCTTTATCTTTTGAAGAATAAAAGACGCAAGTGGTTAGAATTCAATGTATTTGGAATTGTAATCAAGATTGAGGACTAGGATTTAAGATATTTTTCTCTCTCCGTGTGTGTGTGTGTGTGTGTGTGTGTGTGGTGTACTTGTAGGACCATTATGTCTGCTAAGTCTTACATTTGACATTCCCTGAGAAAAATGATTTGGATTACACACTATTCATTCCTCCCAGCCTGAGTATCTTTTCCAGTGCTGAGTATCACACTCAGGACCTGGTCTGTGCTCTACCACAGAGCTATGCTTTATTTCATAAAACGAGCTCCTCCGCTGAAACGAAGAGGGAATTCATGAACCTGGGCTGGATGACAGAGTGAGATCCTGTCTTAAAAACCAAGCGAAAACAAAACAGAGATGTGCGTACCTGGGAAGAAATGGTGCTGCAGGGTCTCCTTATATCCCAGGACTTTTGTGAGATACGCTGGCCTTCTTGGTGCAGACAGAGCTGGTGACATCAGGTGAACGCTGTCACTGGTGGCGGGAAAGCTGAAAGGATCTAAACAAGCATACAGAAAGTGGAAAAAGTCAAAAGCGAAACAACTCTGCCATTGTTCTTTCTACAGGCAACAGATGTGTGGTCCTGCACTACCACACACAGCTGTGCATGGCAGCAAAGGAAGCTAAGAACTGCTCTGTGGGTCTCAAGTATTTTACCTTCCTGAGTAATTCATTTCAAACAAGTGTTATTTCTATCTCTCATGAGGTGATGATTCCTGAGTTTACTTCCAACCCTAAATGTTGGATGCCAGGTTACCTGTAAGAAGAAAGAGAAGGGTGGGGTGGTGTTGGCACATGCCTTTAATCCCAGCACGGGGGAGGCAGAGGCAGGCACCTCCAGGAGGGATGGAGAAGAGGAGAAAGTCTTGGGGGCTGTAAGCAGCCATATGGCCAAAGAGGGCAGCCCAGGCTGTAAGGATGGTTATAGTTGATTGTAGTCTCCATTCAAGGTAAGATGGAACTGAAAGGGGAAGGATCTTACTGGGGAAACAGGAAATAGATCAAATTTTGGACAAGACAAAGGATGATGCATGAAGTTTGTAATGACTAACATCATTGGGAGCATCTGATTCTGCAAGCAAGTTAGTGAGCATATTTGTGAGTCTTTTATTGGTTGAATAGGCATTACCAAGGCTGACTCCAAACAAGATGTAAAACCACCAGTGGCCCTCCTCCCTCAGAGTGGTCCCCTACCCCAGAGTATCTGCTTTTGCCTCATTTCCCCATGTTGTGAGGCCTCAGGACTGACAGCTTAAGATATTTGCTCCTAGATTTACTGAAGTGGATTTGTCACACTCACATGCACACACACACACACACACACACACACACACACACAGTTTCCCTGGAAACACATGGTTCAGTGTCATACTTACATGGTGTTCCCTAAAGATTGTTTTTCCAGTGAAACTATTCTATTTAGACAAGGAAAATCAGCCAATTTTTGTCAACAGGGTTTTATAGCAGGGGGAAAAAAAGGGAACTAGCTAGCCGGGCGGTGGTGGCACACGCCTTTAATCCCAGCACTTGGGAGGCAGAGGCAGGTAGATTTCTGAGTTCGAGGCCAGCCTGGTCTACAGAGTGAGTTCCAGGACAGCCCGGGCTATACAGAGAAACCCTGTCTCGAAAAAACAAAAAAACAAAAAGGGAACTAGCTAATTCATGGCTAATGATATATGATAACTTGCTCCCAAAAGATTGGAATCCATCATTTTTTAACTTCAAAAAGATCAGATTCAGAGTCTTTGGAACTAAGCATATTAGAAAGAGAATACAGCTGTAGGAGAGTACTTATAAACAAAAGCACATTTCTGGGATTTTTATTTTTAAACTAAACTAGATGACAGAATACCCTTGAAAGGAAAGAAGAGGGTCGTTGCCCTCAACCTCAGCAATGCTTTCCCTCTCCGTTTACCTGACTGAGTAGCCAGCATCATTTCTACCCATTGTGGAACCTTCAGCCTTGTGACAATATTGTTCTCCATGATCCAGGAATCAGGGTCCTCTGCAAACACGACACAACAGAAGGGCTCTACTTGAACCACACAGACAAAACCATACAGAGCCTCTTTTTGGTAAACTTTCAAAATTTTGGTTGTGAAATTCACCTTGGGCTTTTCACGACAGAAGTGGTATGTGGGCAACTTTTCTATGCAGTTTTTTATTTCAGTTTTTAGTGAGTCGGGGTTCACCTTTTCTTTCTTACATCCAAACACTTCTTTGCTCTTATCATCAACCCCAATGATTAGGTATCCCCCCTGAGTATTGGCAAATGCAGAAACATAGTGAGCCAGTGTCTCTTTAATCCGAGGGACAATCTTTTTGGTGGTAAACCTTTTGAACTCAACATGTGTTGACTCTGTGAAGCTAAGCTTCTCCTTATAATTGAGTTTATCTTTTGTAAAAAATTCCAAGGCACACATCTTAATATCTTCCTCTTCCTGAATGGTTCTGCTGAGGATGTGGTCTTGAGAATGCAACCTAGGGGAACCTCTTTGGGCTCTAGACTCTTTCTCTCTGAGAAGCTCTAGGGCACTGGTGGCACACAAGTTGATTGCAGAGGTCACAGCTCTCTGATATAAATTGGAGCGTAAGCTGCAGATCTTCAGTGGAAGGCTGGAGGCATCTGGGCTCCATGACTTCACAAAAATCAGGAGATCGTGGTTCTGTTGCATGTAGTCGAGGTGCTTCTGTGAACCCGATGGGAGGAGCTTTTGAAAGGAAGTTTCCAAATCCTGCCCCAGGCCGTGGCATCTGTAACTATAGCTTTTGTCTTGGATCTCGGCTTTGATCACACCTCCCCCAGAATTCAGCAGTGCGCATACAGCCTGGATGATACTCGAATTCTCGTGCCTTTTCAAACAACTGTTGGTCATCTCCTTCCGGTTCTCTTCTCCCAACGTCACTTTGCCGAGATTCACAGTGATCTCCGCATAGGGCATTTTCTGCACTCCCAACAATAACAAGAAGGTGTTCCTAGAACTAACCAAGACAGAGATGTTTTGGTATTAGTGAGAAGTTCAGAGCACAGAATATTTTCTTCAAGGATATACAGTTATGGAGATACATTTTAACATTGCATATAATCTTTTAAAAGATACGTAGGTGGCAACGGGAACTGATCCTCCAGCCTTCCCCATGCTGGGCAACGAGCACTCCTCCACTAGTCACATCCTCAGCCTTCTCCTTGCTCACTGTTTTCAGACGGGTCCTGCTGTCTCAGACTCTTGAGGAACTGGGATTGCGGATCTTTCTCACTGGCCGCCAGCTTTGAAAGTAGTCTTTGCTAGCATCGGTTTTGGACAGTTTTGCCAAACAGACTTTTCAACAAAAGATTAAAACACAATAGTTTCCATAATGGAAAAAAATGACTGAAGATTCCATCCCATTTCCACTTAAAGTTGGGAAGCAGCAACACTGAGTCCAGATATAAGGGGGGTGGGTTAGCACAGGAGCTAAGTGAGCTATTAGAGGATGTGCAGAACTAGAAGCTGACATCAGTGACTTTATTCAAAATTCAAAGGGCTAAGAAAAGAAGCGGTGGAAAACAGAGGAAGTAGAATTTGGGGTTGTGTGTGGTAGGTCTTACTATGAAAATAAACATCGAGGGCTGGAGAGATGGCTCAGCGGTTAAGAGCACTGACTGCTCTTCCAGAGGACCTGAGTTCAATTCCCAGGAACCATATGGTGACTCACAACCATCTGCAATGGGGCCTGATGCCCTGTTCTGGTATGCCTGAAGAGAGTAATGTTGTATTTACATAAGATAAATAAATCTTTTTAAAAAAGAAAAGAAAAGAAACATCAAGCTGGGCACGGTAGCACAAGCCTATAATCCTGGCACTCAGGAGGCTGAGGCAGGAGGATCAAGACTTTGAGGCCAGATATATGGGTACACACATCTGTAATCCCAACACTTGGGAGGCAGAGGCCAGAGGATCAGCAGCTCCAAGACATCCTTGGCTATAGTAAGTTCAGTGCCAGCCTTGACTACATGAGATCCTGTTTCAGATAAGCAAACAAAATGGGAAGTATATAAACTCATACAATATTATATATATGTATGTATAATATTATATACATATATGTATAATATATACATATACATATATATGTATATAATGTGTGTGTATAGTCTTAAAGACTATTCTACTCTTAAAAGAATGCGATTGATAATCAAATGCAGACATTGCTTTAGCTCTTTCCACATCTATGTTTGCAGACTGTGTGAATTTGTCACAGACACTGTGATATGAGGCAGGAATTCGCCTTTCTTTCTAGTTTTGCCTGTTACTATAGGGTCTCTAAGATTTGGAAAAGAGGCTAAGCCTTTGGGGCCTGTTTGCTAAATTGTGACCAACAACCTTTTTTTTTTTTTAAGACTAGAGAACAGCCATCTAAATTAAAATCACAACTCTGAAAAAAAAATATTTCAGAAGGATCTCTTTTAACTGTTGATTAACTGCAAAACAGAACTTTTGCTTATTAACTGAAGCCAACAGTCTTCCTTTGGGTAAGAGGACCCATGTGCTGTCTGCCTGAAGAGGGCCTGCAGAGCTTGTTTACTGTCAGAGAAGAAAGCTGCCTGCAGCTAGACCTGCACCCTAACCTGTCACCAGCTTCCTCTTTAGTAACCTTCCCTCAAGCATGCTAGAATCACATGGGCGACTGGTTCTTAGTTTGGCAGCCTCTTCCATGGATACACATAATTTGCTGTTTGATGGCCCCTTAGGGAAAGTTCCCTATGTTACCTGTTCCCCCCACCCACCACCCACCCCCCATCTCAGATTCATGGTCTTTCTTTGTTGTTTTACATATAGGGCTTTTCTGTGTAGCCCTAGCTGTCCTGGAAATAGCTCTATAATTCAGGTTCCACTTGAAATCACAGAGTTCCACCTGTCTCTGTCTCCCAAGTGCTGGTGGTGTTCCATCAATGCCCAGCTTAGAAGGGATTTTTAGAGACCTTCCTAATGCAAGGATCTTGCTGGCTCTAAAGTCTCTTTGCAATATTCTCATGTCCAAAAACCTTCCCACCCAGCCCCTTGGCTCCCTCCAGTGACTAGTGATCGTCCGAAGCAGTTCCATTCCCTGATCTGGGGCTCTGTTAGAAATGGCTTCTTCTTTTCTGTTTGCCTTCCTGGTGACCTTCATTGGTGAGACCTATACCACACACCTAAGTGACTTTGGGCTAGCACAGTGTATGGTCTCATGGCTCCCAAGTCTCATTGATGTCACTGGGATGCTTATAGCTGCTATGAGACAGCAGTGTTCTGAGGTTCTAGGTCCAGCATCCTTTCCACAAGTTTGGGAATGCCTCACTCATCTTCCTTAACAAAGTTCTCCTTGCTGTTATATACACCCAATCCTTCAAACTCTCCAACTTGAATGGTGCCCAAAATAGTGATGAAATTTAGAAAAACAGTTCTTTACCTGGTGCTCTCGTTTCCTCTGGGTGCTTCAGCTCCTCATCTGGCTCTGGGTGAGATGTTTGTCTTGTGTTTAGCGCCCTGCTGCCCTGTGATATCTGCCTGGGAGGAACCGGAACTCTGCCAGACTCCCTTAGCCTTCATAACATTGACCCACTGAGGAAGGCTGATAAGGACTGGAGAAGAGTCTATGTCATGGTTGATTAGCAAACTAAGGCGTCAGGGAATGAATCAGGTCCTTGGAGTGAGGGAACATGGGGGTTTTCAAAACAAGCAGCCAGAGTTCAGTTTCCATCTTCTAAAAGGGATGAGCACCCCTTCCACACAGAACACAAGCATCTGTTTGTTGGCTAAATTTGTTTGCAAAGCTCTGAGCTCATTTTATTTTAAGTTTTTGAAGTAGGGTCTCACTACACAGCCTGTGTTGGCCCAGAACTCTCTATGTAGACCAGGCTGGCCTCAGACTCACAGAGATTTCCCTTGCCACTGTTTCCAGGGTGCTGGAATCAAAGATCAAGCTGTACTCATTTTAAATTAGGCTATTCTGTAATATTCATTGTGATCAATGCTAGCTTATTTCATTAATGATTCTTTTTGTATATTACTTACTTACTTTTTAAAATTTTTATTTATTTATTTATTTATTTTGTTTTTTTTCGAGACAGGGTTTCTCTGTGTAGCCCTTGGCTGTCCTAGAACTCACTCTGTAGACCAGGCTAGCCTCGAACTCTCGAACTCAGAAATCCACCTGCCTCTGCCTCCCAAGTGCTGGGATTAAAGGTGTGTGCCACCACTGCCCGGACTTTTTAAAGTTTTTATACACATATATATTATATGTTGGACATATTCGCCCCTCCTCCCTAGCCTCTTTTTTTCTTGCCCCTCTACCTACCTGAAAGCTTTTATGTCATATATACATAACTGATTTTATATATTTGTATATAACCTAGGAACCAGGAATGAGAGAAAACATATAATATTTGTCTGAGGTTGGCTTAATTTTCTTATTAGGATTATCTCCAACTGTATCCATTTCCTGCAAATTATATAGTATTGTTCTTTATGAACCAAAATATTCCACTGTATCTATACACTACACTTTCTTTTTAATTTTTTAATCAAAATATAACTACATCATTTCCCCCTTCTCTTTCGCCTTCTAACTTTCCCATGTTACCCTTCCCTTGCTCTCTCTCAAATTCATGGCCTTTCTTTGTTAGCATTCACACCCTCCTAAATACATAAATACAACTTGATCAGTCCAGACTTATATGTATATGATTTCAGCTCTGACCACTTGGTACTGGATAACTAATTTGTAAGCTCTTCCCCAAGGAAGACTATTGCTCTGGCTCTTAGTGTTTCTTAGTTGTCTGTAGTTTCTTCTTTATGGTTGAGGCTCCATGAGATTCCCCCTTCCATATCAACATGTCTGTCCATGTTGTCCTTGTCCAGGCAGCATGCTGGTGAAACTCTACAGGTAAAGCTTCTTTTACACTTCTGGGAGATGCAATCTCACATCAGACTTCCCGTTCTTCTGATCCTTACAGTCTTTCTGCCCCATCTCTTCTGCTGTGACCCCTGAGCCTGACGTGCAGTTGTGTTGTAGATGTAGCAGCTGTAGCTGGGCATCACATGGTGGATAGTTCTCTGCAGATCGATTGTGGATTTCTGTAATGATCTCCATCTGTTGCAAGGAGACAGTTCTCTGATAAGTGAGACCTCTGCTTATATGTGGCTATAAGGATAAATATTTAGAATGTAGTTAGGAATTATGCTGGTTTAGTAAAGTGGCAGTTGTAGGTTCTCCGCCAAGTTCAATGAATTCACTTGCCTTATGTAGTTGGCTAAATTTCTAGCACCAGGCATGGTTTCTCCTTTGATTTCAGCCTGGTGGAACTGCTGTTGAACCTCTTGCTATTAGAGAGAGGGTGAGAGGGAGGGTATAAGGGAGGGAGGGAGGGAGGGAAGGAAGGAGGAGAGAGAGAGAGAGAGAGAGAGAGAGAGAGAGAGAGAGAGAGAGAGAGAGAGAGAGACTGGAGAGATGATGGCTCAGCAGTTAAGAACACTTGACTGCTCTTCCAGAGGACCCAGGTTCAATTTCCAGCAACCATATGGCGGATCACAACTGTCTGTACCTCCATTTCCAGGGGCTCTAACACCCTCACACAGACGTACATGTAGGCAAAATGTCCATACACATAAAATAAAAATCAGTCATTTTAAAGGCTTTAAAAAAAAAAAACAAGAAAGAAAAACCTATTGAGACTAGAGATGTGTCTTAGTGGTTGGGAGTATTTCGGTCCTTGAATCAGTTCTCAGATACCTACCTACTTGGCGGCTCACCAGCATCCATAACTCTAGTTCCAGGGAATCCAATACCTCCTTCTGACATCTTCAGACATCACATATGAACGTGGTGCACAGGCATACATGTAACCAAAATACCTGTGCACATACAACAAAAACAAATCTTCAAAATAAAAATACCCCACACATTTTTGTCGTTTAAGCCACCAGGTCTGTGGTAATTTGTTATGACAGATGCAGGAAAATAAACCACATCCCTAAATTAAGTCAGTAAAACAGGGGTGGTGGTGTACATCTATAATAACAACACTTGGATGGTGGAGTAAGGATCACTACTCAAAACCAGCTATAGCTATGCAGTGGGTTGAACGAGAATACAGACGCATAGATTTGAATACTTGGTCCCCAGCTGGTGGAACTGTTTGAAAAGGATTAGGAGGTGTGGCTTTCTTGGAGGAGGTGTCACTGGGATGGCCTTTAATGGTTTCAGACCATTCCCACTTAGCTCTCTCTGCTTACTGCTTGTGGATAGGGATATAAGCTCTCAGCTGCTGCTCCAGCACCATGCCCGCCTGCCTGTCAGCTCCCATGCTCCACACCATGATGGTCATAGTCTCATCTTCTGAAAATGTAAGCCCCCAGTACATTATTACTTCTACAAGCTGCCTTAGTGTTCTTTCACACCAGTAGAAAAGTAACTAGGATAGGCTACGTGAGACCATCTGAAAACAAAAATAAAGACTGAACTCAATGTCTCTGCTCCAATTCATTTTGATGAAATGACATTCTTAAGGAGGCTTCTGGACACCCTTATATTATACTATTGTTGTTGTTATTGCTTGAGGCTGCTAACCTGAGAACTTCTGATTGCTGATTATTCTTTGCCCATGTTGGTCTGAATGGAGCTTCCAAGGAAGGAAGCAGAACGGATACAAAGCTACACGATCATCCCAGCAACATAGTACGGTCTGCTCTCAGCTTGAATTTAAACTTTTTTTTACTTATTTCACTTCTAAATTCAGTCTCACCTTGGACCTACCACCTACCAATCTTAATGCCCAGCCTCACCTTCACACTGAAAAAAACACCCTTACCTATCTCTAGTGAGATAAAAATGACCACTTTTTACTAGAAATGTGTTTATTAAATGCTAGGGGCTGCCTTGGAAATGCTATATATATCACTCAGAAGCTGCGATTATGTAACAAGAAACCAGGACTTAAAACCAGGTTCGTCTAATTCAAATGATTCAACACGGATTCTGGGTCATTTGAGGGCTTTAAACATCAGAAGTCTTCTTCAGTACCTTCTTTTCCTTTACAGTAACAGAAGAATACTATTTGGGGCAGGTTGCTGAGAACTGGGTGGGTTGTTGTCCCCCCCCCCTTTTTTAAGATTTATTTATTTTATGTATCTGAGTACATTGTAGCTGTCTTCAGACACCAGAAGAGGGAATCGGATCACATTACAGATGATTGTGAGCCACCATGTGGTTGCTGGGAACTGAACTCAGGACCTCTGGAAGATCAGTCAGTGCTCTTAACCACTGAGCCATCTCTCCAGCCCCTGTGGTTCCCCTCTTACTCTTCTGCAATACACTATTGGTGGCAGGTGTGTGTGTGTGTGTGTGTGTGTGTGTGTGTGTGTTGTTGTTGTTGTTGTTGTTGTTGTTTCAAATCATTAGAAAGAGTAATAATGGAAGATAAATGAATGGGAATAAACCTCCTTAGTTTTAATTCTCTTGGATATAGTTTCTCAGGCCAGGGAAGACCTCATATCTTGGCTTTTATCTCAGCAAATCACATTTTCTTGATACAAAACAACTTGAAACCAGGAGCTTGGGAAGCATGTTTTCTTAAATGTTGGAAAAATTATCTGTTCATGCTGGTGATGATTATCTAAGAACTAGAGTCCCCAGTTTATTCATGATGTATCCTTCCTGAATTTCTGCTTATCAACAGTGGTAGTTATGGCACAGCCCACATGCACAGCAGACAGGGTGTCAGAGGACTCATGAAGGAAAGGACTCGTGTCTTGAGCTCTCTGTCTCCACCTCACCCTCAGGGCTTTCAGAGATGTCTGGAAAGGAATAAATAGTCCAGTTACCAAGATTAATGGTCCTGGAGATTACCTAACTCTGGGTGAGTTTCTTTACATTCATTCTTTCAGTCAACGAGCTACTCTGGGGGTACCTAGGGTGTTTAAATCCTAGCTCTGCCATATTCTGGTTAGTAGATTTTGGTTAAGCTTGCCTAAGCCTCAGAACTGTCCTGTGCAAATCAAAGTTAATGCTGCCTTCTCTAGTATATGAGAAAGAAGTGAGGTGATACACATAAAGATTCATCCATGTATGGCCCTGGCCATATAATGTCAACATTAGTAATCAGCTATTGAGCAACTGCTTACTATGTTTCAAACACAGCCATCTTTTCCTGCTAAAATAAAAACTTCCAGTTAGTGACTGCCTTATTCAGGCCAAATGTGCATCTTTTATTTTCTCATGTCATCCTAATAACTTAAAAGACATGGGTTAGTTTCATTGCCCAAAAATGGCAAAACAGTTCAACATGATGAAGCTCAAGGTTACCCATCCTTGGTAGAACTGAGCAGAACTTGGATTTGAGCATTGGCCTTTCTGAATCCAAAGCCCATCTACTCTCAATCTGTGACACTACCTTATGGATAGCTGGGAGAATAACACGTGTCCCATCCATAAGCTACAGAGAGAAATCATGTATTAACTCAGAAGCTCAACGAGCATACAAGGCAGTAGACATCGCCCCTCATGTATCTTATAACTGTTCTATGAGTTACGCACTATTAGTAACCTTTTTTTTTTCTTTGCAGAAGGGAGACTGACGAATCGAAAGTTCATGTTTCTTAGTATTTCTCTAATCTTTTCTTGTGTGTGTGCTTGCACAGGACGAATGTACCCAAGAGCCACTCCAGAGAGCTAGCTATGGATGCACTGCCCTAAGGAGAATCCTAAATGACTAGAGTCAAATGGAGAATGGAGACAGAAGAGAGAAGGATAAATCAGGCTCTCTTTGCTGTCCTTCAACTACAAGGGTTAAGGATGATCTTAGACCAGACTTGAATGGCGTGGTATAGGCAACATTTTGTTCCTTCCTACTCTCCCTTTGATTCTTCAAGACCCTTTGCCCACCCCCATCAGTCGATCATCACGATCCTCATTTGCCACCTCTCCATTCCCACAACCGATTAGGCTCTTCTCAGCCTTAAGATCAGTTTTGAGGAGTTTACATCGTCCCACTCTGAACACACGCGTACACTGTTTCCTTAACTATTACGCTGGTCACTTCATTACTTGGCCTCTGAAATATTCAGTCTCCCACCACTCCAAGTATCCTGAAGTCTGTATCCAACCAGTTTGTGCTCTTAGCAAAGACTCAGCCTGTCTTTCTAATCTCCTACCATGTCAATAATACTAACATAGGAGTCCTTAAACTTTGCAGTGACTCAGAATTGTTCCTGGAGTGTTTACTAAAAATATCATCCTGGACTCAAACCTGAAGTATCCTATTGGGGCAGTTTTGAGACACATTTTGGAGTTTTTACTGTTACTTTTTTATGCTGGATGATGTCCATATTGACAGGTCTTTGCTTGTTTCTAAAGTTCACAGAATTTTAAGAACCACCTCAACAACTATGATTTTTGCCAACATTTGGGTCAAATTCTTTTTTTAAAAAAATTATGGAGGCAGAGGCAGGTAGATTTCTGAGTTCCAGGCCAGCCTGGTCTACAGAGTGAGTTCCAGGACAGCCAGAGCTATACAGAGAAACCCTGTCTCAAAAAAACCACAAAAAAATATTATGAATTTATCTTAAGTATTCTGTAGCTGTATGCTGTATATCGTAGCTGTCTTTAGACACAGCAGACGAGGGCATCAGATGTCATTACAGATGGTTGTGAGCCACCATGTGGTTGCTGGGAATTGAACTCAGGACCTCTGCAAGAGCAGTCAATGCTTTTTTTTTTTTCTGAGTCAGGGTTTCTCTGTGTAGTCCTGGCTATCCTGGAACTCACTCTGTAGACCAGGCTGGCCTCGAACTCAGAAATCTGCTTGCCTCTGCCTCCCAAGTGCTGGGATTAAAGGCGTGCGCCACCACTGCCCAGCGAATCTCCTAATTCTTAAGGCTCTTCAAGACCTAAATTAAATGCCTCTCCTCCCAGGAAATCGTCCGTGCTAGTTTTGACAATTTGATACTTAGCTGCGCTTTTCTCAGGGCGCCTTAAATTATTTAGAATGTCCAACACCAGGGTTTGATTACTGGCACCAACATGGCAGTCACAACCATCTGTAACTCCAGTTCCAGGAGATTTAACACCTGTTTCTGACTTTTGCGGGTTCTACATTGGCATAGTGCACAGACATGAATGCAGGCAAAACACACATGTATAATCATAAATCTTAAAAATCTGTTTTTTAAGTTGTTCGAGATAGAAGCCTCCCTCCTCTCCCCATTCTCCATCAAAGCAATGGTAAAATCATTATGCCTAACAGTCGCCAGGAATCCCACGAGTAGGGAATTGTAGGAAGAAGAAAAACAGCATCACTTGTTGAGCAGAAACCACCGGCCTAAATCGCGGAGCACCGACCGGGACACCTAGGAACCCCCGGGAGGCAGCCTCCGCCTTTAGGCCACATCCACCCCTTGCTTTCATCTCACCTTCCGATTGGCTATTCGCCGGCCCCGCCTTACAGTTCCCACATGACGCTCTAGCTGCCGTGGGATTGGCTGATTGTCGCGCGCGGGGCTGTGGGAAATAGGCCCGAAGAGGCAGAGGGGAGAGGGCGCGGGAAGCCCGAGACGCAGTTTGCTAGTGCTGGATTGGGTCAGACTCTGCAGCTCCGATTGATCCGGTCCAAAACTGCGGAATGAAGAGTCCAGGCTGGAAGCCGATTCAAGCCCCAACTCCAGCCTCAGTCCTCTTTCCCTACCAAGAATGGCTTCAGGCTTCCGAAGTTGGTGGGTTGGACTTTTATCATTTTGCTCTGAGAACCTGTGTGTAAACAAACCCTTGCTACTCTGCAAAGGAATCTGCAGGGCGCCACGAATTCGGAGATGGGGGAATGAGTGTTTGGAGATGCCTGAGGTATGGTCCTTACCCGCGTGACCTGTGGAGGTAAGTTGGCGTTATAAATTGTGTTGATGTATTTCTAATCAAAGACCATGAGTCTTAGGATTATTGAGGTCATTTATTGAACCCCTATGTTCCAGGCTGGAAACACTTTGCCCCAATACTTTACGAGCGCAGTGAGATGGGGCTGGTGGGAGAGATGGGAGAAAACTCGCGAACTGGTGCTTAGTTGGCACGTGATGAGTGCTGTGAGGGAAGAGAGCGCTGTGGAGGTCGGAGACTAAGGTAGTTCAGGTTAATTGACAGAAAAAGTGACATTTGAGTAGCTCCGAAAGTATACCCAAGCTTTCTCCTACCGAGACAAGCGAGGAGAGAAGTTTCATGGGGAGTGTACAGAGGCAGAGGACTAGGAAAATGTACCTGCTGGGCAAGGAAGGAGCTTGGGTTCAGTTACCATGTCTGTCTGGATCTTTAAGTGGAATTGGTTTTACAAACTTTGCATCCGTAATTCAGAAGAAGTGCAGAGTCTTCCTTTGGGATTAATTGAGATTAGCTATCATACAAAAAGTGGCGGCAGTGTGGAAAGACAAACTGAAGAGGCAGAGCTGACGCGCCGGAAGGGTTTCTATGGGGCAGGGAAACACAAGCGCTAATCGTAGATTTGAAAACGTTAGTAGTGTTGGTTAGGTGGTTTGTAAAATTCGTTAGGATTATGTTAACTAGCTAAGGGGTAAATGGATAATTTTGGATTTTTTTTAAGACAGGATCTATATAGCTAGCCCACGGTGGCCTCAAACTCAGGATTCTTCTGCCTCAGCCTTCCAAAGCTAAGTGTGGGGTTAGGGTTGTTAGGGTTAGGGGTTAGGGGTTAGGGTTAGGGTTAGGGTTAGGGTTAGGGTTAGGGTTAGGAAGTGTGCGCACCACTACACCTGGCTTGATTCTTCCTGTTTTGGACGTTGTTTTGTTGTGGTGGTAATCGTTCTGAGAAATCCCTTGAATACCAAGCAAAGTAATTTGTATAGTATTTCCTGGGCCATAGGGAGAAAGTGAATGCTTGTAGTGGCTGAAGCACATTTTTATAGATTTAAAGTCAGCATATATATGTGTTGGATCCCAGGGAAACCAGAGGCAGGAGACCCACTGAATCACAATGCTGTGAAACAGATGAACTTTAAGTCAGCTGTTAGTCCCCTGCAAGAGCAGCCAATGCTCTGACCTACTGAGCCATCTCTCCCAATGCCTGTAGTTTCTCCTATTAGTAAAGGGTGGGTGTTGGGAAGTTAGAGGTGGAAAAATTGAAACCTGGCATTCAGACCACAGCCCTCTTCCTAATTCTGCTATTAATTGGTATAAAGCCCTAGCCTCTCAGAGTTTTTGACTGAAATTAGGAGATTCTGGTAGAAAAATTATGATGTATAGCTTTGTTTGTTCACTATACATTTTCCTGTGTTGCTCAGGACTCTAACTCCTTGGCTCAAGTGACCCTTGGCTCCAGTCTTACCCTCTGGAGTAGCTGGAACTGCAAGCATGTCAGGTATAGTGACACCGGACACTGTGACTATATTTTTTATCTTCATCGGCAGTTGAATTCTGTTAAATGAGTAATCATTTTGTAGGAAATCTTTTCTACAGCTACTACTTTTTGGGTTATATATGTCTCTTAACAGATATCCCTAAGATTTTGTTGAAATAAATGGATTTTGGACTCATTTAAATAGCAACAAAAATTTTTTGTTTTGAGACAGGGTCTTGCTATGTCCAGGACAACTCTGGACATAAAAAACAAAATCAAACCAAAAACTTGTTTTAAGTGTTTTTACTTGTATATAACAATTATTTACCACATAGTGGAAAGTATTGAAACTTCAAAGTTGAAGCATCTAAGAGGGTAGCTTTTGGGGTATGTAAGCCTGTATATCCTGCATTTGATTGGATATGAATATAGGTAATCCTTAGGCAGTACAGGAAGGTGAAATGGATCCATGCAATGATGAGCGAAGTACAGTCTGACCTGGTATTGCCATTGCTTCGGCGCCGGCTCTGACCAGGGTATGACCCCTTAATCTTCTCTCTGAGCTGATTTTGCTTACCACATGGGGGTATTTGAACCTATGTGGATTCTGGCTTATAATGTAAGAGTATTTCTTTTGTATCTTTTGAATTACTGATACTTTCATGTTTTCTTTCTTAGGTCCAAGTGAGAAATCAGGGTTGAAAACTTCATGGAGGATTCATCATTTCTGCCCTGAATTGGAATCAATTCCTTTTTTTTTTTTTGGAATCAATTCCTTATTGACTTATTTTTACTGTATTAAAAGTGTTTTTAATTAACCATGGTATTTGTTTGGGTAAGACCTTTGTTTTTGTAAGGTTTTACAAGAGCTTATAAATGATCATATACTCTTCTGGTATATGTAAGTGTTAATATTTTTAAGTCCGCAGGATGGATTATCTATTTTAAAACTTAGTAAAGTTGTATCATCTTTATGGTACCAGAGAATATGCTCAGTTGCCAGCATGAATCACAGTATTACACCAGGCACTTGTAAATTATTTTTATTCAGCCTGCATCAATGATTTTTCAAAAGCTGTTTCTTCACCAGCTTGTCCATCCACTGTCATAAATCTTCCTAAAGAAGCAACTAAACTCTTGTTTCTGGCAAATGCTATTTCATACAAGGTGGTATCTGTGTTGTTAGAACAGGATTTTTGTTCTATTTATTGAATTTGTCTTTTTAAAAATCAAAACTTTAATCAATACAGAAAAACTTCAAGAAGTCAATGGTGATCTGAATAAAAATTTATTTAAACCCTTGAAGTAATCTTTTGAGTTTCCACATAATCATAACAGCATGGAACAATTCTTTCCCAGAATCATGTATTGTTAAGATTTACTTAAATGTTTCATAGAAACTTTCATAATACCTAGCATGATTCATATCAACTGAGCAAACTGCCAATTGAGCAAACTCATAAGAGGAAGCAGAAAGCTTTTGCTCCTCATTAAATATTCATTAGGTAGGCATCAGGTAAACATTAGATAAGTATTTTACCACCATTGCTTGCTAACTTTCATTCATATTGAAATTTCCAGACTCCTCCCTGTAAACAAACCCTTTCCTAAGGCAGACAGGTATGGATCATGGAGGAAATCTTCAAATGCTGATACACTTTGGTAGATGTTAGTAAGTCATGATAGATGGAAGGGGCTTTTCTCTTAAGTGTTTCTAAGTATTTCTATAAAGAACATGTCAGATAAAGCTTCTTCAAAAGTGGAGAAACGTTTTCTAAAGAGAAGGCCTGCTTCCCAAACCTCTTGCCTTATAAGGTCTAACCTGAGGTTTCCTGTGCTATTTTATCCCTCTTAATCAGTCTCTCACTTTAATTTTACTTTTGACAGTCTCCCTGTATTGGCCTTGAACTCAGAATCCTGCCTCCATCTCCAGAGTGCTGATACTACACCACCACATCCAACTTAAAACCTTACTCTTAAGTAAGGTGGTCCTTTATAACCCACCTCCACATTGGCCCTCATACCACCTATAATCCTGATTCTCCTGCTTAAACAGCTTGGTAGAGAGCAAACCAAAAGGTTAGGATCAAGTGAATATATCCTTTTAAAAAAATCCATATAACTACTTAAAGTTAATGTAGTTGTGAATCAGGGAAGTATCATTGTTGCCTGCCATACTAAAACTGTCTTGTGGCATTCCATTGTAGAACTTGAGCTGTGAGATAATACACTAATCTCTTTCAGTTCTCTGGAGAGTAGAGTTTAATTAGATGCTGGACTTCCGTTGGATACCCTGTAATGGGACAGGCTTGGTGACTTCTCACATAATTAAACACACAGCGGTAACAGAATACATAGCCAGAGGTGGCAAGAACTGTATCATTCACCCGAGTTTTACGACAGAGTGGGCACACTGTTTTCATTTTGGGTAAGAGGGGAGAATCAGAGTTGTAGTCTAGGTGTACAGGAGGTGGTGGTGTAGGTAGGGCAGTCAATGATTTGATGGTCTCTTGGTTCTCAGAAGAGTACCACCAGTCAAGAAACTGCAGGAAAAATACACCCACAGAAAGGCCAGTAGAGAGGGAGAAGGCAATGCCTCCCACAGCTTTCTTCAGAGCTGACTTTATCTTCTCACCAACGCTGTTGGGAAAGGAGAGCAAGAAGTAAAGAAAATAGTTTATTTGTGTTTGATCACAGAGTAACTTCTATAGGTGTAGTTCCACACCACTTGATGTGCTGAAGGGTCTGTTGTGAGCCTGTGTATGTGTAAACTCTGATGTTCTGGTTTTTAAAAGATTTATGTTTGTGTCTGCTTGTTTGTACACACACCATATGTATGCAGGTGCCATTTAGGGCAGAAGTTATAGGCAGTTGTGAACTGCCAAATATGGGTTCTGGGGATTGATCTCTGGTCCTCTGGAAGAGCAGTATATGCCATGTACATAACCACTGCCATTTCTCCAGCCCCCACCCCCAAACTGTTTTAACAACAAAAACTTAGGTTTTGATTTGAGAAAGGCATTAGATATTCAACTTTAGAGAATTTTTAAATGGAAGATAATCCATCCAGAAAAAGCAGTTCACTTAAAAAGTAACTTATCGACACTGAGATGCATACGTTTGGACTTGTGGGAGAACACACTCCATAAAGGTAATGCTGCATCCTTGGTAAGAAGTCTTTTGAATTGTATCACTTTGCCTTGAATCTTTGCTCTGCCATTTTCTAGCAGTTGGTCCACCCAACTGTTAATGAAGCCATTGTGTTTAATTCAGGTTGTGATGAGGCATAAGATAATGTACACAAAGCAAATACCTTGCATGGGCCCTTACATACACCAAGCATGCACAAAGGTGTACCTATTATGATGAGAAAGGTCACCAGGATGGTGGCCCATGCTTTATGGATGTGAGGAATAACTTCTGTGATTTAATAAATAACTGGGGTAAACCAGATGATTGATACACAATTTTAAATTTTGTTAAAGGGTTTTAGAAATGGCCTTACCTTCTGACAGGCTCCTGCATTGCACTGGCTTCAACCAGTCTATGTTCTATAGCTTGCATGTCCTGAGCTGTCAGCCGACCTAGCCGGACTCCAGCCAGTTTCAGCAAGGGAGAGTGATGCTCAGCTTTTCCCAAGATGTAACGAAGTTGCTGTGTAAGGAACCAGCCTTCCCAGGCCATGTTAACAAACGGGTAGGCCGCCAGGAAGGCTCTGTAGAATCGTTTCCAGTGAGAAGAAGGGGGATGAATAGAGTATTCGTCTTCTTCTCTTAAGCTAGAAGCCAATTTCTCCAGCTTCACTTTCAGATAGGGAAGAAGAACAAGGAACACAGCAGATTTCCAGAGGTGCTCCTTGGGAAGACCAGCACTGGCTAGTCTCTGAAGCTGCGGTGAACTCCCTGCTACAATCCGCTTTAAACCATAAAAGTGTTCAGAAAATGAGGCACTAGTTCTAGAAAGATAATGCTGCTGGAGCAGAAAGTCTAACAGAGTGAAGATTTCATCAAACCACCTCCAAAAGAAGCCATAGTGAGCAGGATTTGATTCTGCAAGAACCTGAAGCAAAAACATTCGTTTTATTAGTCTTCAGTTTGTATTCCCATTAGCCCTTTCCTCTTAAATTCAATACACCTGGCTAAAATAACTGGCTTTTGAGGTTTAGCCCAAGCTCCTTGAGGTCCTAGGACTTGAGTACAGAGCTCTTTGATGTCCATTAAGCCATGGATACTCGACACACATCCATCATTGCAAACTTACGGTTAGTAGTAAATGTTTGGAGTTTTTTCCAGTTGTCCCTGAAACCTTTTAGAGAAATAATACCTTACCTTGACCACATGCTGAAGAGCGGGTCTCACTGCTGCCATTAGACTGTCCTGTGCTACCACCTCAAAGATGGACGGCTGGTCGTCCGCCACCGAAGCAGTTGTGATGTGAGCCCCATGCTCAGCCATAGTGTCTTGTGTATACTGGGATTCACTTTTCCCACGAACACTCTAATGAACATGAACTTGTTTTGTATCAAACGGGTGCCGAGTCTTAGTCCTTCTGCGTGGCACCTGAAACTCAAAATTTAATTTTACATAGTGAAAAATCAACTGGGATAAATAAAAAAAGACTTATATAGAGGCGGAGGGGGGTCTCAAAGTTAAGGACTGTTAACTCCGGAGCTGGGGACATGGCATGTGGGACTGGGGAATGACTTGTCAAATGCTGCACCTCACAGGGCAGAGCGTGACTCGGAGACAGGTGTGGGCCAAGGAAGGTGTCGCTCTAGCTGCAGTCCCGGAGCTGCGAGGCCCGGCTCCGGCGGCTGGCTGGGAAGCGCCCGTCCTTGCTTGCTGACCTCGGGCACGGAGCAGACGGCCCGTGACGCCACCTGCGAAAGGAGGTCTCGGCTTTGTGACAGAAACCGTACCCGGAAACAGAAGCTCCGAGGACCTCCACACGGCGGGCGGAAGACAGGCGCTCTAGCATCGAATGTAGTCCTGAGCCGGAACTCGGGAACTCTATGACCAACTGGGACTTCCGCTTCCGCCCCCTGACTACGAGGCGACGGGTTAGTGTAGCGGGTGGATTCTGTTCCTGGTTAGCTCTGAGTGAAGCTTCGTGGAGGGCCAAACTGTGCGGAGTTGGGGCCCCTGCCTGATACCGGTTGCCACGGGAGATCAAGCCAGGTCCTTTATGCGCAGGTGGTGTTTGGCTCAAATTCGGCCACCTTCCCGAGTATTGTAGTTATCAGCAAGTTTTACTAAAATGACAAAAATTCTCCTTGCCCACCAGAACTTAGGACGGTTTACTTTTCATACAGGCAGATAGCTTAACTTGTCTTCCATGTGTAAAATTAAGTTATAGCTCTAGGCACATTCTGCTAGATGAGATTGATTACTACCCTACAGCTCAGTAGATATGACATATTAGCGATACCAATACGGTGCAGGAATCCTTATGATCCTCGAACTTAGTATTCACTGCTCTAGAGGACCCGAGGGTGTAAAAGTAGGCAATTGGTTTGTATAATGAGAACCTTATAAAGGGATTAGTTTTAGTTGTTTCAATTTTGAAGTTTTCTTTATAGTTTTTGTTTTTTTCCGAGACAGGGTTTCTCTGTATAGCCCTGGCTGTCCTGAACTCACTCTGTAGACCAGGCTGGCCTCGAACTCAAAAATCCGCCTGCCTCTGCCTCCCAAGTACTGGGATTAAAGGTGTGCGCCACCACTGCCTGGCTTTCTTTATAGTTCTAAAATATGATTTATACTTTACTAAAATCGCTGTCAGAAGTGCAATTGTTTAATTTCTAAAAAGTATTAAGGGTTTTTGTTTTAAATAATGTTTGTTTCAGCTTAAGATTCTTGAGTTGTATGTACTTATCCTTGGCTAGCATTCAAGTTGGCTTTCATGCCCAGCCTTGAGTTTTAAGGGCTAGAGAACTGCATAAAGCATCTAGTAAATATCACATGCTGACCAATGATTCTTAATTAAAAAAAAAAAAGATTTTAGGTGTTCGAGTGTTTTGCCTGCATGTATATGTATGTACCACATGCATGCCTGGTAACTGCAAAGGTCAAAAGAGTGTATTTCATTTCCTGGAACTGGAGTCACAGACCATGTGTGTGCTGGGAATGGAAGCCAGGTCCTCTGCAAGAGTAACCAGTGCTGTTAACCACTGAGCCATCTCTCTAGCCCTGTTTATGCTTTTCTTAAGTGATTAACAAAAATACACAGCTAAGAAATAGCTAAAACAAGTGGAAAATTAAACATTTGCATCAAATAAAGTTTTTCAGTTAAAAGAACAGAAGCAG